GAACGCATTTTTCATGATCATGCTGAACGCAGACATGAGTGCAGTCTCGCCAAGTGTATTGACGAAGCATGGAAGCAATCCGCCAGTCATGTTCGCAGCCTTGTTCCAGCTCATGCCAAGACTAAGGACGATGTTCGCGGTCAACAGCACGAGGCTAAAGGTTTGTAAGAGTTCGAATTTGACGTGTCGGACTTATGCACTTCCAAGAAAGGCGCCGGCACACATGAAGGATCTTTTTGCTCTAAAGAACGGCACAGTAAAGCTGCTCTTGAGTTCATCACTAACTTTCGTCAATGACTGCTCCTGTGCATCAGCTTGGCCGAACTATAGCTTCGAGCAACATTCTTCAGTACACACACATGGTACATCAAGGGCTCACAAGCATCTTTACACAACTATGGGAATGCGGATTTCTGCACTCCTCCTTAATTCCACCGCCAGGGCAGAATTATACCTTTTCGTTGAAGTCTGCATTCCAGCCGTCAAGACTGGGGACCTGATCGTCGTAGGCATCAGTAAATCCGATTGCCCGCATTCTCTGCACAACAGCGGCACACGGAGACCGTATTGGTCCTACTGGCGTTCCTCAAACCCCAGCAGTGGGGAAACACATGAAACTTGTCCCCTCCCGGTATCTGGTAGAACGGGCCCGCATAAGTGCGTATAGCTGTTGGAGGAGGTGGTTCAACTCTGATGAAAGCCGGGGGGTCCGTTTGGATCTCTGCATCCTTTGTCTCCTTCACCTTGGGCTGTTTGTTGTAGTTCGTCGACGAAGAAGAAGTCGAGGGTTGGCTCGCTTGAAACATCTCATCTGGAAACCTTGGCATAGGCGACGATCCTTCGGGCATGGAATCCTTGAACTTCTGCTGTAGCTCAACCAGTCTGACCTTTTGAGTCGTGGTAAGTTCCGTTGGTTGAATTGCCATCATTCGCTGAAGTTCCTTAAGCTCGTTCCTGGTAATCTTTCTTGAGGTGTCCAAGAAGTCCGCTTGTGCTCGTTGGGCTCTGACCTTGGCTTCCCGGGGTCGTAAGCAGTTTTTTCCTCCTTCCCAAATGGCTATCACTGCCACCGAGAGTACCAGGATTGCCACGTACAGATCCCATGGGACCTCCGTTTTCAAGTCATCCTTCTGGCCCGCCGAGCCACAAACTTGGCACATCATCAACAAAGTTGACAACCACGATGATTTCACAGTCACTTTCTTAGCGCTTGCCGTAGACGAAGTTTGGGAAGGGCGCCGGTCCACGAGGCCCCATAACCTGACCAGGTGCTGTAGCCGTTCTCTAGAGAACGGCTTGGTGCCTAAATCGGCCCGTTGCCCATCTCCAGGCTGGTGTCTGAGGTTCACCTCCTTGGACTGGATAAGTTCTCTCAGCCAATTTGAACGGAGTCGGAGATGACGGGTACGCCATGATCCTGTTGTCGAACCCAGCAATGAAACAGCCGCAGCGTTATCCACCAAAAGATTCAACACCACCTTATCCTTGGTCATCTCGTCCAAAAGACCTTTGGTAGCTCGTCCTAGGACCATGCCCTCCACCGCTTCTAGCAGTTCTGATTCTGCAGTCGATAAGGTCACCAACTGCTGACGTGCCGACCTCCATGCTATTGCACAGTCGTTGAAGAATACTGCACATGAACCATGCGACCTTCCTCCGCTTGGAGCAAACGAACTGTTTGTGTACACATCGAGGTGGTTGATCTTGTCTGCGTTCGGAACGAAGCTTAATCGATAGTGGAGAGTTTCACATAGATAATCAAGGATTCTCTCTCCCACCTTGTTCACCAGTTCTGGACATCTGGTAATCCTTGAAGACATTATTGCTACTGCATGCTGAATGTCCGGCCTTGATCGCCCCATCAACCAAAGTAGCTCCCCAACTCGGCGTTGAGCTTCCTTGATAACATCTTCTTTTCCCGCGACTTCAACTGGCTCTGCATCAAGCAGGGCGCGCTCCTCCTCATCCGAGAGAATCATTGTCTCCTTTGGCCCCTGAGTCCGTGAACGATTCCCCTTATGGCCGTAGGTCCTGAGGAGCTCCTTGATAAAGCCTTCCTGTGCCATCTCCACTCCGCCTTGAACTTTATGTAGTTCCGTTCCAAGAAACTTGATGGGGTGGTTATAGTCCAGCACATCCAGCTCATCCACCTCCCATTTCGCAGAAAGCCAACTGAAAAAAACACGCATGGTGTTGTCCTCGGCATTGATCAAGAGGTCATCGATGTATACCAGTAGGTATCCTTGTGGCCCTCCTTGCCCGTCTTCTCTGACAATTCGCCACACCTGATTATCAAAGATCAACTGTTCCAACTTCATGGTCACCATCTCGCCGTTGATATCAACCGTCCACCTTGCCATAGTCAGCTGAGTATCACGATACTGACTCCACATTGCAGGTGATTCTCGAAGACCATAAATGGCCTGCTGCACTTCCCACATGTCACCTTCCTCTGCCAGCCCCAGTTCAAAAGCTATTGCCGGGGGTTGTAATGCCACTGGGCCACCCAGCCACCGAGCTAGGACGAAAGCTTGTCGTATGTCTGTTACTCCCCAGCCCCAACGAGGGTTCGTGGCGCTGGAGGCTAGCACTGTGCGTAGTGAAGTCGCATCGAGGCCTGCGGCGTAGACGTCAAAGGTCGTCTCATTCTCCGGGACATAATTCCCACATGCTACGAAGCGTGTTTTGCGACGATAACCAAGAGGACTTTTGTCTGGTTTCACTGTATACACTCCTTTGCATGGGACTATTCGACACCCTTGAGGTAGGAGATGACGCTTGGTGACCTTCAGGGCATTCTTTGACTCCACCAGGTTTCTGAATTCTTTTGTCGCGGAGTCCTTCCATGCTCCCAAATTCTTCTTGACTTCTTGAAGACTGATGGTATGTGTTACTTGCAAAGGCTGTCCTGCCTCTCCCAAGTCCGCCAAAACCTTCTCGATGTCCGGGGTGCACTGGACTTCTGCTTTCTTGACCATCTTCATCAGCCTTGCACCCGCACGATTCCGTATCGCCTCAGCGTGCGTTGGAACCTCACCCATTTGCGAGTGATGCCCTCCTCCTGGTAGTAGATCTTCGTCCCTGATCTCTTCAAAGGTTTCCGGGAGTCCAAAGTCATCTTGGATCCACCTGAGGCACTTCCTCTTCCTGACGTTCCATCACCTCCTCCTCCTGGTCCTTGCCCGCGACTTGTTTGAAGACAAAACCCACCTCGTTGAGTTTCTCGATGTCTTCTTGTCGTAGCTTCGTTCGCGGGGTGAACATCAGTAGGACGATTCTTTCTCCCACCCATGGCTGTACTTCATGCCATTTCCGAGGTTGGAAACACGTAGCTTCGCCCTTGTGGAGTTCAAGTATCCGGCCCTTCACCGGTTCCCCACTTTGATTGATCTTCAAGACACACTTCTCCTCCTCGACCAGGTCGTCTTGTACCCATAGGTTGCCTTGCTCAAAATCAGTAAGCGGTACAACAACATTGAAGGTGTCTTGATCATTGTGTAAGTCACGGTGAAGTCCGAGCTGAGCATTCCTTGCTATGCCTATAGTCGAAAAAGGTTGGCCTTTGGCAAACTTCTTGCCGAACTCCACCAGCAACCTGCTCGTTTGCGGGTAGTTATCCACATTGCTCCTTGGCCCGGCCTTTCCCCCATGGACGAATGCTCCAGTGAACCACGACTTCACATCCATCTTTTTCTTCACGCGGCGGTCGGCGTCACCCAGTTTCTCGAGCTTGTAGTAGATATCGAGGATATCAGCAATGGTGTAGTCGCCCTTTTCTCTAAGAAGCTTCGATTGAAACTCAATCTCCTCCATCAGCTGTGCCTTGGAAGGAGCACACTCTGCTTCCTCACCATCATCCTCAACATTCTCCGCCACAGCTGGTGGTAGTAGATCACATAGTTCTTTGTCGCCGTAAACATCCTTGACATCGAACTTGATGCTTTTGGCAATCGTGAGTCCACCGCCTCGTGTTTTTTCTCCTTGGTGCCCATGTAGTTCTTCGCACGGAACCAAACTTCATTTCCAAACGTAGTTGCAGGAGGATGAAAGTAGGGGCTATCCGGGAACGCCTTTCCCCATAGAGCAGCCGATGCGTGCGCCGCCGCCATTGGCCAATCACGAGGAGGAGCACCAGCTGACTTCAGCAAGGCCCGCATTCGAGACTTTGTCCATTTGATCCCGAGCTCCGCCGTGGAGTTACCGGTAGAGTAGGGTCCCCCCAGCCGTTTTGGTGTGTCTTAGGCCCGCGTCAATCGTCCATTCTTCGAACGGCTTGGCCTTGAACTCCCTTGCTCGGTCACTGTGAATTCCGGATATATGTAGTCCGGTTTGGTTCAACTGGATCACTATTTCTTTTGTGGCCTGCAAAACATGTGCCGCCGTCCTTCTCCTCAGGGGCCTAGTAACATAGGTTGTAGCGGCTTCTTCTGGCTGGGCCAGCCTTTCCGCCACATCGTCCACAGTCTCTGGGCCTTGAAGAGGTAACTCTTCCTCATCTTCGGATTTCGGATGCTCATCTTCCTCCGCAGCCACTCCGTCTGCCAAAGCATGGGGATCATTATCCGGGATTTCCTCTTCATCTACTCATTGTGCATTTGACGACCCTCAGCTTGCGGGGACCGCAGCGTGGGTGCCCAGGATTACTTGCAGCTTTTGGTTAGAGAAAACAGTTGAGCCCATTATCCAGCTTTCGAGCTGGTAGCGGAGCGTCTGGCTTTTCAGGCGCGATGATGCAACGAGTTGTTTTAGTTTTGGCAATGGCCTCCTTTTGTCGATCAGATGTGTTCCCCAGCAGCCCAGAACTGTCTAGGAGAGTCCCAGCTGTTGGGGAAACCATGCTGGTCAACCGGACACACTCGGATGATTCAGCGCATGTGACACGCCGTTTATTCTCTCGTGACAAGGTTACAGAGCTTTCAGGTTTCGGCAGTCAGCGCATGAGACTTCTGGGTATTTTTGCAATGGCCTTGAGTACAGTTTCAGTTTTGTTATTCATGTTTCAGCCTGGACAGACTTATGGATCCAACCGACTACCGCCACGGTGGGATCCAAGCATGGAAGGTGCATTACCCTTCAGGACGTGGATGCAAGATGTCATGCTATGGACGATCTGCACTGACATGCAGCCCCCGCAGCAGTGCGCAGCTATTATAAGTCAGCTTGGCGGTCAGGCCCGAGAGCTCGCCCGTACGTTGTCCCCTGCTGAAGTTTTCGGAGGCGGAATAATCAACGGTGTTCAGCTTGACCCTGTAAGTTTTCTTATGCATGGTCTTTCCACCCGCTTTGGCCCGCTTGATGAGGAGAACCGATTGCAAGCGGCACAGGCATTGTTGACATTTGCTAGAAGACAGGGTGAAACGATAGACACTTTGATTTCTCGCTTTGAGATCACTCGTGCGAGGGCCGCAGCAGAGGGAGGAGGAGCGTTGTCGGTGGAGACATCGGCTCTGACTTTGTTGCGAGCTTGTGGTGTTTCTTCAGATCAGTTTCAGGCTCTGACCCAACCGTTCGGATTGCGTCTTCCGAATTCTGAAGCCGAGTTCACTGCTATGTGTCATCATTTGAGACGTATGGGTCACATAGTAGAAAGGTTTCCTAATAATATAGCGTCAGGTTTGCGTGCGGGTTCATCCACAGCTCACTTCAGTGAAGCCTTTATGTCTGAGCCAACTCAGCAAGCCACAGCTGAGCCTTGGGGAGCGAGTGCAGAAGCTTCCAGTAGCGGTGTTTGGCCCCCACAGAGCGACCAAGCTGACTGGGCATTTGCAGCTGTCAGCACTGCAGGTGACGGTGCATCTGACACAGACAGTGCCACAAGCTCAGATCATGATGAGCCGCTTCCGGTTGAAGACCTGCAAGGCTTGAGCACAGGTGAGGTTGATGAGTACTTGTTTGGGCAGTATCAAGCTGCCAAGAAGCGGTGGCGCAGGTATTCTGGCAAACCAGTTCGTGCGTTGCGTAGGGTCATTCGCAGAAAGGGAAAGGGCAAAGGCAAGCAGCGTAGCAGCTACCTCAACATAGACTCCATGCTTCAGCAGTCGGTGTACTTCAAGGGTAAAGGAAAGGGTGGCACCAGCACAGGAAAGGGGTTTGGACGCAAAGGCAACCCTCGTGGCAGGGATGGCGAACCCCTAAAGTGTAGCATTTGTGGTTCAGCTTTCCACTTGCGTGCAAGATGCCCTCGTCGTGATTCTTCGACTTCAGGTCCCAGCTCAGGTGCCCCCTCAGGTCAGCCCCAGCGTACAGGTCCTTCGTACACAGTGGAGCCCGCTGGTAGCAGTGCAGGTTTGCATTTTGCCACCTTTGAGTCTGATAGTTCGTGGGCTAACATCATGACTCCTAGATCGCAGGCATCAACTCAGAATGCTTCAGCGAACGCTGCACATGTGCAGGCTACTGCTGAATCTGTGCCAACTGATGCAATGCCCAGCGCCCCTCCATCTGTCGAGGTCCACAACATGTCACCTGACCCGTGGACCGTGGATCCCGATCCGTGGGCGCAGTGGCTTCATGACCAAGGTCCACTGGAGCCGCCGCAGCAGCTTCAGCCGCCTCTGCAAACTTTGTCAGCTTCGCGTGTAGTGCCGGGAGCCAGCGATCGTCAGGCATTGCAAGCTCGCCAGTCCGAATGGGCAATGCCAGGCTTAGGTAGGGTTGGCCCCAGGACATCCTTTGGGGAAATGCTTGGGTATAATAGTGCCTCCACACCCAGCTTGCCCCCTGCTTCAGCAACATGGCCCACTCCTGGCTGGTTTAATCAACACCAATCAGTGCTTCAGCAGGCTCGAGAGGGAGTAATGACCCAAGCTGCCACGTCAACAGGGATGCCGACGGGAGCCACAACCGCTCAGGTGCCAAGCACATCAGAAGCGCGTGCCCTCCCAGTGCTGATTCAACAGTACGCAAATGCCCAGTTGGGCACAGCGCCTCTGTCCCGTGACAGTGCCCGTGCAGTGACTCAACCTTTCGATGGCACCAGCAGTGCGCAGCCAGCGAGCGCAGTGTCAACTTCAGGCAGCGCGGCGTTGTCAATGTTTGGCCAGGTTCATGCATTGAGGCAAGGTCGTGGCCGACGAGAGTCAGACGACCCCAGGCCACAGACGTCACCACAACGCCGCCAGTCTTTCCATGGGCATGCCACATCATGCACCATCTGCATGGAAGAGTATCAGCCCAGAGATCACATCTGTAGATTGCAGTGCGGTCACACATATCATTGTGTGTGTGTTGGTGAGTTAGCTCTGCACAGTGGAGAGGAATCTGATTCCGGAGCACTCCAAGTTGAATGTCCGCTCTGCAGGTCACTTGTCTCAACCACCCACTCTTGGCGTTTTCCTGACTTGAGTGCTTCCGCAGAGCGTTCACAGCCGTCTCAGGCTGATGCCCCAGGTGCCTCAATGTCCGATGATGATGAAGTGCCGGACACAGCAGAGGCGGATGCCGAGCCGAGCAGTGCTTTCATGCACCAAGCCGAGCCACCAGATGTGCCATCGACACCAACGCAACGCCAAAGCCCAGATGATGCTGATGATGATGCTGATGTCTTCATGTCTCCAAGCGCCTTCCCTTGGTGGCCAGTGCCCCTACATCCTCAAGCTTCGCCAGTCACGGCCGAGACCGAGACCGCATATCACTCCAACGTTCGGTTGGCAGATGGTCGCGTAGGCCTTTTGGTGGACCCAGGTTCGTATGGAAATCTGGTGGGAGAGCAATGGCTTGAGCAGGCCACCGCGCGCACCAGCCGACCTGCTGTCCTTCAGAGTCGGTCGCAGCCGCTTCAAGTGGGTGGCGTTGGCCACGGGGCGCAGACCTGTGGCCAGGATTGCAAGTTGCCCATTGCCATGCGTCGTGATGATGGATCCATCGCCACAGGCTCATTCACTTCTCCTGTGGTGCGTGGAAGCGCGTGCCCAGCACTCCTAGGACTGCGGACTCTTGCGCAAAATGGTGCATTGCTTGACATGGGTCGAAAGCAATTGCACTTCATGCCAGAGGGAAAGGAAGCAACGATTGTGCTGCCTCCTGGTGCTGAAACCTTTCAGCTGGAGAGCGCCCGATCTGGGCATCTTCTGTTGCCATGTGGCGAGTTTGGAACTCTGAAAGGCGGTGAAGCCGTTGGTGAGCATCACCTCTTCGCCGACAATGAGCGCCCATCGGAGCAGCAACATCAAGTTTCCCAGCAGTCATCAGCAGAGTCCTCCTGGCATATGAGCCACCGCCAGAAGTTAGTGTTCGCTCAGATAGACAAGCAATGTGCTGAAGTTCTTGCATCCTTTACTTACGAAGCGGCCGCAGCGCTGCTGAAGCGAAACCACGCCCTTCTGTGTAGCCATGCAGACGAGCCGTCGCGCGAGCGTTTCCAAGCCTCAGGCATGTCACAGTGTTTTGGTGCGTACACTTATGGTGGTATGACAGGCATCACAGACGCTTCGGAAATGTTTCCAAACTTGTGCAGCATGCTTTGTCGCATGGTCTCCACGACTGCCTCCGGCCGTGAGTTCTCAGCCCTGATGTTGATTTGTGATGTTCAGTCGCCCGTGCACATTGACAGGTTCAACCAAGGGGAAAACATCCTCCTGCCGGTCACGATGCCTCGCTCAGGAGGCAACCTGTGGTTAGAGCTTGGTCCGGGTGACACTTTGAGCTCAGAGCCGGTGCTGCTTAAGAGCGACGGAGCCCTCCGTGTGGGCCATCACGTGGCTCTTCGCCCCGGCCAGCCGGTTTTCTTCAGTCCGAAGCGTCAGGATGCCACTCAGCCGTGGCCATCAGGCCCGCGTATGGTGTTGGCCGCATTTACGCCCAGTACAGTATACAAGCTGAACCAGTCGCAGCTCTCGAAGCTTGTCCAGCTTGGCTTTTCCCCTCCTGGATTTGGGTCTCCGGCAGTCGCACTGCAAGCTGAACAATCTTCAGAGCAGCCTCAAGCGAAATGTAGCCTAGCAGGTGCAGAAGGTGGTTCGAGCTCGAGTGTTTGCATTCAGCAACCTCAAGTTTCCCAGTCATCAGCAGAGTCCTCCTTGATGTCAGATACATCAATTCAGCAACCTCAAGTTTCCCAGTCATCAGCAGAGTCCTCCTTGATGTCAGATACATCAGCCATGCCAGTCAC